TTTTTTTTTTTTTTTTTTTTTTTTTGCAGTACCGGGGATCAAATTCAGGACCTTCCTCTTGCAAGGTAGGCATGGCACCACTGAGCTAAATCTCCAGCCCTGGTCTTAAACTTCTAGACTCAAATGATCCTCCCACCTCAGTCTTCCAAGGAAATAAAAGTTGGGCAAGCTTTTTTAGCTTTCTAAGTTTCATTTTACACATAAACAACACGAAGATACAACCAACTACTTTCAAGTTTATTTTAATGGTTAAAAAAAACATGACCGAAATCTGGGAGTCATCCTTATTGTTCTTCACCTCAGTATCCAACCCACCAGGATAATTCTATATCATCTACCCCTAAATTATTTCTATTTATTACTGTCCACTTCAATCCATGCCTGGCAGTAGCCAGTACTAAGCTATCATTATCTGTTGGCTGGACTACTCTAATAGTTTAACTGGTTTCCCTGCATTTTTCCTTCTTAGTACTCTCCAAACTACTACAACAAGAACAATCTCTTTTTAAAAATTTAAATAGCTTTATTCATGCACAATTTATATTCCTAAAGTGATTAAGAGTAAACTGTGTATCATTCTTCTGATTAAAATCCTCCAGGGTCTTCTCTTTCATGCCTCTCTTGCACTGGTTCTTATTTCAGCCCGGAACCTTTATGTCCTGACTCTGCCTAGGTAGTTCCCCTGTATCTTCCAGGTTTCAGCCTACACGATACCATCCTAAACAGGCATTCCCTAACTAGCCTTACTTTTGACAATCTTGTCATTTTCTCTGTCACAAATGCTTCACTGACCTTTTTGATGTTTGGGTACTGGGAACGGAATCCAGGGTCTTGGGTATGTTAAGCAGCTCTACCACAGAGCTATACCTCCAGCCCCACTTGTTTTGTAATTATCTATTGTGCATTCTATTGTAATTATCCACTGCTTACATGTTAACCAATCCCCTGTCCCCCCTCCATAAAATTAGTGAACATTCTGTTTTGCTCATCATTTATCTACTGGAACAGAAACACTGTAGAAAATAATAATAATTTTAAAAAGGGATGGGATGGGCTGGGGGTGTAGTTCAATGGTAAATAACTTGCCTTTCTTGCACGAGGCCCTGAGTTTGATCCTCAGCACCACGAGGAAAAGAAAAAAAACAAAAAGAAAGACTATATAATGAATCTACCTTAAGTGGGTAAGAACAGGAGGCAGCATTTCAGCCAGCTCATCCATTGTAGGGTACTGGTACCTGAAATTCAGAAAAGATACCTACTGCTTTAGAAAGTACCCACAATTACCAATCTTTGAGAAACATTCTCGTTTACAAAAAGCTCAAGGGACTTGAAGTGGTGCGTGGAAATGACTCGTGGCATGCCTCTATTACAACCATGCTGAAAAGAAAGAAGACCCATGTGACAGAGGAAGTTACACAAAGAGCTGGTTATATGGCCCCTCTCATAGTATTTCCAAACCCCTAACAAACATCTCACTTGGGGTCTAGGGTCAGTAAACTTCCAACAGTGAGAGTCAACTCAGGAAGTAGATCTTTTGTATTCTGCTTATATTTAGGCGGTTAAATGAAAAAGTAAACCTTTACTGGGTCAAGGCATACAGTGACAAATTTTGGGCTGCTCAGCATAAATAACATGTTTCTCTTAGGCACAGGATAACACAATTATTTTGTTAATTGCTCTTCATGCTATGAATCATCTAACAAAAGATCCAAAGCAGGAATCCAAGAAAAGTGGGGAGCACACAGAGATGATGGAATCAGAGGTTTTTAAGATAATTTCCTATATATGCAACAGGATATTTTCTACAATCAACAAGGAATTCAGCTTGCCTATGCGTGGACACTTTAAGAGATGAACTATCCTCTTTTTTTTCCCTAAACAGAAAAGGAACTGAATCCAAATCTGGTTTGCTATCAACTGATCACTGGCCAATTTGCATTTGAGAGGTAGACAGAACAACACAGAAATTAGTCAACAAAGATCTGGAGCCATACTGCCTAGGTTAAAACCCTAGCTGTGCTACTTACTTGTTACATAACCTTAGTCATATTCCTAGTTTTTCTGGGCCTCAGTTTCCTCACCTGTAAAATGAGAACAGGAGTAAACCTATCCTATAAGGTCGTGAGGATTGAGTTAATAAATGTAGATTATTTAAAGCAGTGTCTGGAACACTACTTGGTCTGTCGAAGTGCTAGCTTATCTGCAATGTCTATTTTATAGCAGTCACTGGCTAAAGACAGCTCTGGAATGAGTAGGAGATATGAAGAATAAGCATTTCATAGTGTGCTCTCTCTGTACTTCCCAAGGCCCTCTCAATAGGCACACTGTCCAGGGAACTCTTGAAAGCCTGAGACTCTGCTAGGCAAAGCGGCTTATGATGAACCAGACAGCCAAGGCCAGTCATAGGGCAGCTCTGAGAATAACTGGTTATATGATATGAAATTCCCATAATTAGACTGTGAGGGAGGGATGGGGAAGTCTTCCCATGGAAGCTTCAAGAGATCTAGGTTTGGGCCTATGTAGTTGGGAGTTTCAGAGAGGGTCACAAAAATAACATTTAAAACAGACAGAGGCTAGATAAAAAGACTGAGAAGTGGGTACTCGAGACACTTATTCCTGTGATCACAGGGAAGCAGGTCTGTGCCATAGAGAGCCATCCCGGATATGGGAAAATATCCAGTTACCCCCAACAAATGGTACATAGTCTTCTGATACTAAGCAGAGAAAACACGAGGAGGACATGGCTGATGAGTTTAACTTGTAGCTGTGCTAAATCGGTGGTGGTGGGGGCATATCCTGTTGCTTCCACTAGAGCTCAGTCCTTACTTTTCTGACTGCCTGTCTCCCACTGAGGACCATGTCTGTAGTCTTACCCTGTTGGGAAAGAAGGTGCACCTTCCTGCTGGCCTGGGGCATCCACATGACAGACAGCAAAGTGCTGAGTGATCTCTTGCATATCCTCAAAGTTGAAGAATGTGTTGAAACAGGATTTATCTACAAGACAAAAATACCTGTGAGCCATAGGCTCTCCATTTCTCTCCAATTTTCATTTATTTAGCCAGTGCCTTATCATTTTCTTTCATTTCCTTTTAATCATCATTCCACTAAAGAAAGGTTTCTGAAGGAACAGTCTCATTCAAGTTACTCTAAAGGCTGAATAACAGTTACCTTAATGACTTGAAAACAACTGATTCTTAATTCCATAATGTCTCCAAAGTAGAAACCATTCTGGGGATGTTTACTGGGTTTTCTTGGTTGCACAAAATAATCTGCTATCAAAGGCATAAGATCCTAATGATGAATGCAACTGTATTGTATACCTAAAATGTACCAATAAATTTAATGGAAAAAATAATAATCTGCTATCCATACTTCTATTGTTTATCACGTATCATATTTTCCATGTCTAACAAAGAGACACTGACTGCACTCCAAGTGCCTGGCTACAGTGAATATTCTGAAAAGCTTCCATTTATCACCTGGGAGTTTGTCTCTTCTTGAAACTGTCAGGATGCAGAAAGGGGCTGCTGCTTCAGCTTTTACCAGTAATATAAAAGCTTAAATCACTTTTGATGCTGACAGCCACAAAAGTTCTAGCTTTATAAACACAGACTACAATCTGAAAGCCAGAGTAAGGCTGAATAAAAAATATTCAGCCTCTGTCTGTGGCTAAAGCTGAATATTACACTACTGTCTGGTGCATCCCTTCTCCAAAATGCTTGGGATCAGAAGTATTTTGGGGGGCTGGGGATTTAGCTCAGTGGTTCTGCCGCCTGCCTCGCAAGCACAAGGACCCAAATTCAATCCCCAGTACCAAAAAAAAAGTATTTTTGGACTTTGAGATATATGCATTACATAATGAGGAATCTTTCATATATACCTAATGCACACAGCCTGAAGATAATTATGTACAATACTTAAATGTTGACTGTGACCTATCACATGAGGCTAGGTGTGGAATTTTCTGCTTGGGGCACCATATGGACACTCAAACTATTTCAGATTTTGGATCATCATGGATTTCAAATTTTTGGATTAGGGATATTCTACTTGTACCATTTAGAAAAGTCCACTTAAAGTTATTGATGACAGGCTACAGAAAGAATACTTTTACTAATTCAATGAAGTGCTCACAACAAAGTTAAGTTTAACTCTGGATTTTCTAATGTGAAATACGAAAAAAAAAAAGCCAACATATATACTTGAAAAAAAAATGACTGCAGATCTACTTTCTTAATCATTTCATCATATAATTTGCAGTCCTTTAGCAGGTGTGACACAAAGGCAAGATATAATTCACTATCCTCCGAAACACGTTCCCCTCCACATTTACCAAGAACTGTAACCCTGACATTAATAAATGTAGCAATAAAGAGGAAAGGTTAAGACAGAGAAGGGAAAAATCTACTCTATCAAAAACTACATATTTTTAACATAGAAGGAAAATATTATGGTAAACTCAGAAGGTATAAAATCAAATACATACGATTGAGTCCAATGTCATGATAAGTTAGGATAACTGGTCTGTTTCCCTTCGGTAAGCCTCTTATAGTGACATGGACCATACCATGATTTGTTTCTATATCATGTTCCTGTAAGAGAGAGTGTAAGGTCTCAGCAAAGGCAGAATGAACTTTCTAAGTTGCTAAAGTTTCACAATACCTGTTCCACTGCTATTTTTCACTCACCGGGACAGGACACATGAACTATAAGCATATCATACATAATTATCACATTTTATAATTTTTTTTGATAATCAACAAATAAACAGATCAAGAGAAAAATACACCTTGCCAGGACCAAAGCTCATTTAGGAGTCCAGGAAGTCAGGGATTTGTTGAGAATACATTTGCACTTGACAATGAAAAGGAGATCAGCAAACTGGATAAAGAGCCAGATAATACTTGGGAGAAGAAAAGTTAAGAAAGCAAGATAAAGGAAACTGCTAGGTAAAAAGTCAGAGGTTTCAAAGCTTCTGAGCATATGTTCAGGGACAGATAATTTCAGTAGACACCTATGGGTGTGTGTACTTAAGACTCTTTCCTCATTTCCTGGGTTGTCATTCTGTATTATCCACATATTACAGGATAATATTCTGTATTATCCACATATTATACACATATTCCTGCCCCCCATATTTGTAGAATACAATCTTTTGGCCACGGCTACCTGGAAAGCATCTGGCCATTCTGGGTCAGCATTCTCCCCCTAGAAATTTATAACTGGGTCTAAGAGATTCCATCCTTAGCTTGGTTCTTCTCTTAAAAAGAGAAGTAAACTTGGAAGCTTTCACTATTCTCTTGGTTCTGGCTGTGTATATGCTCTTAAGTTCTGAGACATCCCTAGGTTTACTCTGGTTCAAGCTAGTTTGGGTGGAATTATTCCTTATAGTCCAAAGGATGGTAATTAAGGCCATGAGTAAAGTTGTTTTTGTTTTGTTTTGAGACAGGGTCTTGCTATGTAGATCAGACTGGCCTTGAACTCACTATGGAGCCCAGGCTGGCCTCGAACTCTAGGTGATTCTCTTGTCTTAGCCTCCCAAGTGCTGAGATTACAGGTGTGTGCCATTACTCCTGGTTTTGCAAAGAGTAAATTTAAGAGGAATACAAAATAGGAGAAGTGAGGAACTAAACAAAGACAGAAAAGGATGTGATAGATAAGTGCTGGCAGGACTGGCTACATCACTGAATTATGAGATAGAAAAGCAAGGGACTGCAGAAAAGTTAACCGAGATTTGGTCTATTCCTCTTATATTTATCAAAAATTACAAATTATTGGGCTGGGGTTTAGCTCAGTGGTTTCAGCAGCTGCTTCGCAAGCACAAGGACCTGAGTTTGATCCCCGGTACCAAAAAATAAAAATTATTTGTCCTTATAAATTACTGTTCATAAAGTCTCTATATATATCAGAAAATGCTAGATAAAATAAGATTAACTGTCAATAAGAATCTCAATAAAGGCAAAGGGCTAACTCAATTTCCCATCTAATAATGAATCTTAACAGATCTTTGGCTTTTCTTTTGATATGGGACACAGAAGACAATCTCAGGTTCATTAGACATCAATATATTTCAAATCAGAGGCTCAGAATTGTTGCAAACAGGTATTCCTATCAAATCAAGCCATGAGTGATTTAATATTTCTGTTATTCTCAGTTAGTGATACCTCCTATTCAAGTCAATTCAAAAGCTTAAATTAAAGGGCAGAATCTGTGAACTAGCAATGAAGTAATAAGAGAAATATAAAATAAATCATTATTACTTCATTGAGCATTTGCCTTACAATACCAGACTTACTGAGGGAGCCCCTTCCCACCACATTCAGTTAGTAAATTTCCATTCATTGAATCCCTGCTATATGCTAGACTAAGCTCTGAGTATAAAACAGCAAAGCAGAGAGATGTGATTCCTGCTTTTACACAGATTATGCTCTAGATAGGGAAGCAGAAAATGAACAAACCAACCCATAATAATTGCTGTGGTAAGTACTATGAAAACATAGGGTACTATAATAAAGACGAAGAAAGACATAAACTTCAGTAAGCAATCAGAGAAGTGCAAATTAAATTCAATGAGATACTATTTCATACACACCAGAACATAGAAAAGTAAGAATTCTACATACTATTAGTAGATATGTAAACTGGAACAATTACCCTGGAGAACAAGTTGGTAATTTCCAGTAAAGTTAATCAGTGCTGGCTGGGAGGTGTAGCTCAGTGGTATAGTTCTTCCCTAGTATGGTCAAGGGGCCCTGGGTTTAAACCCCAGCACTGCTGGGAAAATAAAAAAGCCTGTCATTCCAGAACTCAGGAGGATCTAGTTCGAGGCCAGCCTAGGTTCCATAGTGAGTTCAAGACCAGCCTAGACTATAGACCCTCTCTCAAAAAAACAGAAGGGCCGGATTTAGCTCAGTGGTTCCATCACCTGCCTCGAAAGTACAAGGTCCTGAGTTCGATCGCCGGTACCAAAACAAACAAACAAAAAAACCTAGAAGAAAAACAAAATCCTACTCTATAGCAATTTTAGCTTTAGGTATAATCTAAAGAAATTCTCCTACATGGACATGGACACACACACACACACACACACACACACACACACACAGACAGAGGCATGAAGAGATATATACTGAAACTTTGCTTATGTTAAAAAAAAGGTTGGAAAACAGCCCACATATTTCATCAATAGGGAAGGTGACAAATGAATTATGATTTATTCGTATAATAAAGTACAAATAAAAATGAGCACACTAGAGCCAGGGGTTTAGCTCAGTGTTTCCACCACCTGCCTTGCAAGCACAAGGTCCTGAATTTGATCCCTGGTACAAAAAAAAAAAAAAAAGCAAACACTAGGAGTATAAGCACTAACACAGAAAAGCTTGAAAATATAATGCTGAATAAGAGCAATATGCAGAAGGATATGTATGAATTAGCACGTAATTTGGGGGGGGGTTCTTTTTGGTACCAGGGACTGAATTCAGGACCTTGCACTTGCAAGGCAGTCACTATGTTGCTGAGCTAAATTTCCAGCCCCTCACATAGATATTTTAAAAAGCAACACAAGAGCTGGAAATTTAGCTCAATAGTTCCGCTGCCTGCCTTACAAGCTCAAGGACCCAAGTTCGATCCCCGGTACCGAAACAAAAAACAAACAAAAAAACAAAGCGACACTACAGACTGTATATGTACACATACTTATTTATTCACTTGGTACTGGGGATCAAACCTGGGACCTTGCACTTGTGAGGCAGGTGGCAGCACCACCCCACATACATATTTTAACTGTGAAATGTTGTGAAGAGAAGGAATGGACATGAACCCTAGGACCCGATTCCCATCTGGGAGGGGAAAGATTCGGAAAGAAAATACAAGATGGTTTCCCGGCCTCTCAGGTTTTTTCTCCTGACAGAAAAGGCAGAAAGGGAGAAGTTCCTGCCATAGAGTGATGGTTCTAGAGAATTCAAATTCCACAGAGTGCCCAATAACTTGTCACACTGACAATCAGTGGCTAGAGCTCTCTCCTTCTGTCATACCTTTGGTGCAGAAACGCATAAACATTCTAGCTTGGACTTAGCTGTGCCACCGAAAGGAAAACATGATCATGTTTATATCATGGCCTTAAAAAGCAGACCTTCCCAGGACCTCCAGGTAGTGACTCTGTGAGACAGAGAGATGGGGGGATCAAGGTGGGGGAGAACAGTGAGCTCTCAGGGAAGGTAAAGAGGAAGATGAGAACAAAGGGAGATAGAATATATGAGCTAAAAGAGAAAACTTCAAAGGTAGATAAGGAATCCCAGCCCTATGGGAGGCTAAGGCAGAAGGATCACAAGTTTGAGCCCAGCTTGGGCAACACTTATTAAGACTCTATTTCAGAATTTAAAATAAATGAAAATAGGGGGTGAGGGGGCCAGGCATGGTGCACACCTATAATTCCTGCACTCAGAAGGCTGAAAACAGGAGGATCGCTGCAAGTTTGAGACCAGCCTGGGCTACACAGTGAGTTCCAGAGTAGTCTGAACTACATAGTGAGACCCTGTCTCAAAAAAACAGGAAAAAACAAAAAACGGGGTGGGCTGGGATGTAGCACAGTATGAAGGCCCTGGGTTCCACCTTCAGTATCACAAGGAAAAAAAGAAAACAAAAGGGTGGGGATTTTACCTCAGTGGTTCTGGCGTCTGCCTCACAAGCGGCAAGGGCCTGAGTTCGATCCCCAGTACCCCCCTCAAAAAAAAGCAGATGAGGGAACAGGGTAACTATAACTACCCATAATCCATTATCCATTACCTAGATGAAATAAGAGTTAAAATTGGATCCTTACAAAAATCTCAACCTTTTAGAAATCTCAGTCCCTCAATGTGCCTTCAGACCATGTAATAAAGTATCAAAGGGCCAAGAGCCTTAGGCAGCATTTATCACCCTCTGAAGCCATGCCTGGTTGTCAATAAATTCATCTCAGGGTCAGGGATTTAGCTCAATGGTTCAGCCACCTGCATCACAAGTGTTCAATCTCTGGTACAAAAAAAAAAAAAAAAAAAAAAAGTTCATAAAGTTCACCTTCATTTTCAAAGTACACAAGTGTAAATGTTCTGAGAAGAATAAAGAATGAAGAGCAAGGAGGTACTCACCTCTGCAAGGATTAGTGTACACATCCATCATAAATATGTATACAAATAGCTTGAACCAGACTCACTCTGAAGGCGAAGTGAGGAAACCCTGGCCAACTTAAAGCTCAGGCCTCTGCAGGCAGTAAGTGAGCTGCTACCATCGTCTTACTTTGGTCAACTATCATCTGTCTTGCAGGTTCCTCCCCTACTTTCAGCATTCCTACCCCAACATTCCAGAGTGAGACCCCACAATGAGAATGTGTGCTCAAAGGGCATAGTCTAACGCAGCACCTCACTGGCTCTGGGTACCATCTCCAAGGCTGTGTATTTTGTGAACATGATTCCTTTATTCTCCAAGCTCATAAAAAAATCCTGAAATCATACAGGTCCCTGACATACTGCTCTTTCCTGAACTGCCTCTTCCTCTCAGTGAAAGATGTACCCTTAATCTGTGAGCTTTTTAAAGAATTTTAAGAGTTTAGTGAGCT